TATATATTAATCATATTGTTTGAGGTGAATGGCACCTCCCAGTGCCAGCCTGATAGAAGCAGGTCTGAGGGAAACTGCTTACTCTCAGGTCTTGCTGGCAAACTTATCTGCTCTGTTGGCATTTTCAAGCTGCTGCCGCCGCCACTCTGGGCTGACAAGAGAACACAGCTTCTTTGGCTTTCTGACATGGACTGAAGACAAATAATTATCTGGGAATCCTCTAGGCCTCTAACGCTAGTCTGGATGCTGAGACACCTAGTCTCCTGGCCTGAGCAGCTATTGGCTTTCAACCTCTCCACTGTGAAAATTGCTATTGTTGAACTATCTGCATAAGCCAATATAATAAATACCCTTTTAAAACACATTCATTGTATCGGTCCTGTTCCTCTAGAGTGCCCCAGTTTGCACAAACACAGATGACTTCTTCCTAGAGGTCTAAGATTTGGGCTACATGACTGGCTACGGTAAACTCTCAAGGCACTGAGTCCCTTGTTTCTAACAGATAACTTATCCCTTGTTAAGGGAGTCAAGGGACACACACTGTGTGACCCCACTGACCAAGTCTCTCCCTTTGGTGACTGTTGCACCTTGTGCCACAAGAAGGCACAGCCTTGAGAATGCTACATGTCATTCTGTGTGTGCTGGCTGGTTTTATGCCAATTTGGCACACGTTTAAGCCATTTTTGGAAGACTGAACCTCAGTGAGAAATGCTCCCACTAGACTGGCCTGTGGACAAGCCTGCTTTTTCTTGATTGATGTTTGATGTGGGAGGTCCCAGCTGACTGTGGGCAGAGGTGCCTCTAGGCTGGTGGTCTTGGGTTGCTATAAGAAGGCAGGATGGGCAAGCCACGAGGCAAGCCAGCAAGTAGCACTCCTCCATGCCTGTGCCAGTTCTTGTCTCAGTTTCTGCCCTGACCTCCCTGAGTGACAGGAGGGTGACCCAAGAGCTGTTGGCTGAAATAAACACTTTCTTCCTAAGTTGGTGATGTGGGATACCCACCTGTATGTTGTGAATGTTTTATTGTCATTGGTTAATAAAGAATCTGCTTTGAGCCTACAGACAGAGTAGAATAGAGCAAGGCAGGAATTCCGAACAGAGATGTAGAGAGAAAGTAGGTGGAGTCAAGGAGATGCCATGTAGCTGCCGAAGGAGAAAGATGGCCACAGGAGCTTGCTGGAACCTTACCTCTTCCTGCAGAGGGCTGGGGCCCCTCCGAATTGGGAGTGTAAATGGTTGCCCTAGGCACATATGCCAAAGAGTTGTCGCTGATTTAGAGAACACACGGCAACCCTCATCAAAGGAACTCATTTGAGTCAGGGGTTTACAGGATTTCCACAAATGAAGTCGCACATTTAAAAACAGAACTGTACAAAAACTATACAAATATTCTTCCCAAAGAAATAAAAGCTTACAACAGCCCTCCAGTAATCTCACAAGAGTCAGGCCAGCCTGGGCTGCCAGAGTGAGATTATCAAGCCTGTCGCATCCCCACTTCTACGCCCAAAGAAAACAAATTAGATGCTTTGTGATGTGGGAGTGTCATATCAATCTGTTGATTTCATTGGCTGAGCAATAAAGAAACTGCTTGGCCCTGATAGGTTAGAACATAGGTGGGTGGAATAAACAGAATAGGATGATGGGCGGAAGAGGAAGTGAGGTCAGACTCTGCACTGCTTCCAGAGGGACTGGACAGCCGCCATGTTCTGCTCTCCCAGGCAGCTGCAACCCACGATGGACTTAGGCTAGAATCTTCCCGGTAAGCGCACCTTGGGGTGCTTACACACATCATTAGAAATGGGCTAGTCCAGGTGCAAGAATTATCCTGTAAGGGCTAGAGTTCATGGGCCAAGCAGTTCTTAAATGAATACAGTTTGTGTGTTGTTATTTCAGGCATGAGCTAGCCAAGCGGCTGGGGTGTTGGGGACACAGCCCCGCCGCCGTTCCTATTACAACAGATGGTGCCCAACGTGGGGCTCGAACCCACGACCCTGAGATTAAGAGTCTCATGCTCTACCGACTGAGCTAGCCAAGTGGCCGGGGTGTTGGGGATGCAACCCCGCCACTTCTTATTTCAACAGCTTTGTACTATAAAATAAATATGTAAAAAACAGTTGGGAC